GCGAGATAGGGACTTGAACGTCGTAAACTGGTACGTAACATAGCCCTAGACGTCACTATCTAAGGACGTCTCTGCGAGATAGGGGCTCGAACGTCCGGGTACGTGGCGGTCAGGAGCAGAGATAAGGTCAGGTCCAGAAACGGTAACATTATCTCACGAGCATAGCTCCCATAAGGTCGAACATAGTAAACTGGTACGTAACTAACATAGCCCTAGAAGTCACCATCTAATGGACGTGTCTGCGAGATAGGGACTTGAACGTCCGGGTACGTGGCTGGTCCGGAGCAGAGATAAGCAGGTCAGGTTCAGGAACAGTAATATTATCTCACGAGCATAGCTCCCATAAGGTCGAACTAGAGTGAAGATATTGCCTAACAGAGCGCTAGAAGTCACGTCCGGGTACGTGGCTGGTCCGGAGCAGAGATAAGGGAAGATAAGGTCCAGGAATGGTGGAACATAACCTCAGAAGTCACTAGCTCAATATCGCCCTGGAAGTCCCTATCTAACGGACGTGTCTGCGAGATAGGGACTTAAACGTCCGGGTACGTGGCTGGTCAGGAGCAGAGATAAGGGAAGATAAGGTCCAGGAATGGTGGAACATAACCTCAGAAGTCACTATCTCAAGTATGCTTCCCCGAGATAGGTACTTGAACGTCGTAAACGTGGCCCAACGAAGGCTCAAAAGGGACTGGAATAGAGTGAAGATATTGCCTAACATAGCCCCAGAAGTCACTATCTCAAGGACGTGTCTGCGAGATAGGGACTTGAACGTCCGGGTACGTGGCTGGTCAGGAGCAGAGGTTCCCCCAACGGGGCTCAATATAGCCCTGGAAGTCCCTATCTGACGGACGTGTCTGCGACGTTCCGGACAATATGGAAGCTATGTTCAGCCACGTTGCGGGGGAGGCCCTCGATTTGCGACGTTCAAGTCCCTATCTTCCTTTCATATTGACTCCCTTGGCTCCAAGAGCACAATACCCCGTTCCAGATCGTGTTCCTTACTGGGCCCTGTTCCCTATCTCCAAACATGACCGGGGGGGAACACCTCCGGAGCTATGTTCGGTGGAAATATTGTCCCCTTCCATGCGGTGCGGGCGGCTACCGTCGCGAAGCGACGTGAATAGCATCTCCAAGCCAAGGGCAGAACGGCATCAGCTTTGATCGTCATTGGCAAGAAACTGACCTCTCAGCAAGCCAGCCAGCCAATCGTGTCGGAATGAAGACGACCAATGCAGTTCCACATGCCAAGCTTCAGACCCTCGTTCCGTGAAACAGGCCGCCTGGCCTTCACAGCGTGTAGGGCAATGTACGGAATAACATGTACATGAGAGGAGAGTGAGGAAAGCACTGTGGTGGCACTTGCGAACCATTTGGTGCTCCCTGAGCTGGGATGAACAAATCTGTTGCCTGGCCAACAAGTCAGGTATCATCGTTTGCTTGTCAGTGCTTGAAGAGTCAATTTATACAATGAAGACACTGCCAGCACCACATCTGCACCATCCGGTATAACAGCGCCCAACCTGCTCATAGCTTGAATTCCATGCTAAGCAGTATGGCCAGGAGCTCCTAGTAGCTAGTAGCGATGCCAGGGGCCCCAGTAGCGAACCTCGTTACTAATTCGTAAAGGATCCCCGGACCGGACCTTCGTCGTCCATTGTACCATCGGATGATTCCCGTCCCTGATCAGCAGGTCATACGGCCAGAGTTTAATCCTTGCAGAATCTTTTTTGATATGCAATAGTTCAACCTAATAGGGATCGCCTCCAATCTACTACAGTAGCGATGGCCTCCAACCTACAATTGAATGAGCCCGAAACGTCTCACAGGCTTTGCAGGAGGAGGTGGTGCCTTCCAGGCACTTGCTCATGGCAAGGAAAAACGCATCTTGGCCATCAAAATCAAACACATGTCTCGTGCACCATGCTGCAGTTCCATAGGGAAGCCACGCTGCAGGGAGACCAGAAAAGGACTAAGCTACGAGCCCCGCTGGACCGAGCACCCGCTCTTCCAGTGAGCACCTCTTGAGCAGGAAAGCGACATCCAAGAATTCCTTCAATCAGCGTTTCTTATATCTGCTGCCTCTGTCAATATTGGTTGGTTCTGAACAATGTCATCCTTGACGATGTGGAAGAGTGTTGGGCAGTTCTTACAAAGAGTGCCCAGGGTAGTTTGTAGGAGCCTTCGGGATCTTTCCTACCAGCAAGAAAAAGGCATTCTATTCGGAAGCTCAAGACCTTATTGCAAAGCGTTCCTCTTGAAGGCTGGGGTGCGTGCCGTGGCGGGTGGCGGAGACCTGGCTTTAGACGAACACGTTGTAAACTGACCGATCAGAGACAGCTTGCCACCTTGGCGCTATGTCTGGCACCGGGCTTGGAGGCGGTTCCTGTGAGAAGTGGAAGTAAGAATTGAGGCGCTTCTCGCTACCTTGTGCTGCATGTCTTGTGCTGCACGTCCTCCGTGTCTAGCAGCAAGTTGTCAGGACCTTGAAGCTAAAACGAGAACAACTGCTCTTTCACAAAATCCATTCAGACCGGGGACGGATGGCTTTGACATCTCCCGTCGCGGACAACTTTACCTCACACTTCCAAAAACAGCTCAATGTCTGGGCAACGTACTTGCGTGAAAAACATGGTTCACATTGCTAGCACAACTCTTGCAAAAGCCTGGGGAACAACGAAAGAACCTGAACAATCCTGGAAATGTCTAAGACCATTCACCTCCCAGCGCCCGGAGGTGGCATCGAAGCGCTCGAGGACACCTCGCCTTCGAGTCAGGCTCAGAAAGCCAAGCAAGCCAAGCCAATGTATGATGGCTTTCGCATGGCTCCGAGGTGCAAACGAGCCATTCAGGGAGGCCGCCTGCTTCAGATTTGTCAAGGTTACCTTGCTTCGGGAAGTGCGGGTCAATGAACAAATGCACAGGGGAGGAGCCACTGGCATCAAACGTGTAAGGCGCGTTCCCGAAATCCAGGTAGGAAGTCTTGACCTGGCTGGACTTCAGCTTCAGGCCTGATCAGGTCTTCCAAGTTGTGGCACGCGTGATCACAACATCGTTGTGCAAATCAATCTTCTCAATGCCAGTTGCTGTGCAGTCCTCTGCTCAGATCCAGCAGCCTCGCTCTCTGTGCGCCTGCGTAGCTCTGCGCGGCTGTCTCCATGTGACTGAAGTTCACTGCAGGCTAAATGAATGCTTGGCCTCTTGCTACGGCCTCAGACGAACCATGAAGACACATGTCTCTCACTGTCCCTTTCTGTGAAACCAGTCACCGGAAATGTGTCAAACCAAAGTTGTAGTGTGGAACGAACGCTGAGTTTCTTGACTGCGACTCCTGCTTCGGCTGCTGCTGTCACTGCTATCATCCTGCACAAAAATGGAGCCCAGGAGTCGTGTCAGCCACAGAGAACAAGCAAACGATTGTCCTTGAATACTGCACGGGCTGCATTGGCACGCTGCCTTTCCTTCCAAGTCATGAACCCGGCCCTTGACCTACTTACTGGAAAACGTGAAGGTGCAGAATTACATGGTGCTCTAAGCCATTCTAAGCCTCTTCATCTTCTTCCTTTTTGCTCTTTTCATTTTGTTGCGCTCGCCTTAACAAGCGTCCCAAACTTACAACGATTCTCCGCTGAACGAAAACGACTTTTCAAGTTGCTAGCAACAGGTGTTTCTGAGCAGCCTACTCCGCAGCAAGCTTTCCTGTCAGAGTTCTGTCAATCAAACAATGCAATCTAAGGGCAGTCTGGATCTTTTTCATCACGGATGGTGACTACTGCGGCATTCAGCACGGCAGGAGCATGTTGCCATACCGCGAGTCTAGGGTTTACATCAATAGGCCAAATCGAGCAAAGCCACTATGGAAAAGACTGCGCGCCCTCAACATACAACAAAGTTTCATTCTCATCATTAGGGCCGGCGCTTTTCACGGTCTCCTCATCCATGAGGTCACTCTGAAAAGTCTGTCCTGACCATGGACCACAACTGGAATCATGACTACAAAATCTGTATCACTGTTTTAAAGTGCCTGCAGGATGAAGTGCAGGTGCATAGAACTTTAAGCACCTGACTTTCTCTGGCCACCAACCTTTTGGCCGCCTCTTCGTCCATAAGCCCCTCATCGCCTGTGGCCGCAGGGCGGCTCTTTCCAAACGGCACAGATTGAGGCTGAGCTCGTCGCCTCCACTTTGACTCTCAAAGCGACGGGACAGCTCATCATCTGTGTAAGCTCGACCGGCCCAAGTCCTGACCTTAGAACATGCAAAAAGTGTGAGAACATCAAAGCATTCACCGCATCTCGATCTCTCTCTCTCTCTCCCTCGCTCTGTCCCTCCAGGTTCACAGGGTCTACAGTCTACAGTCTACCCTGCTTTTTTGCAATACATTGCTCAAGGGCTCCAACTCGAGCATCATGTTCTTGGAATTGCCGCATCTGCGCGACAAAGGCATGTCTGTCGGTTGCTGGAGCCAGCCAGTTGGTGATTCAGTGGACTCATGCAACCCCAATGCAACCCAAAGAAAAAGAGCACTGATACTGCGTCATCCACCGTGCTCTTGCGCTCTTTTGCACAACGAGCTAAGTTAATGACAACCACGAAAGTCAAGCAGCAGAGGTGGATCTACAGAAGATCTATGAATGCTGTGAATCTTGGCCAGCAAACTGTCGTACTCTCTAAGGAACACAGCGCTTATGTTTCACATGCACCCACCTCTCAGCTCCTTCAAGAGAATGAAAGCTGGGACATACCGGAGGCAGTATGTCCCAGCATCTGCGAAGAGACGGGCCGCAGTGCTTTTCAAGATTTAGGTGAGACACCGCACGACCCAGGGGCCGGGAAGACAATCGCACCGCGATTCCCGTCAGCAAACACATCGCATCTGCCCAGGGCAGCCTATTCATGAAAGGCTCACAAATCAAGCGTCAAAATGTATAGCAAGAACGCGTATCCACTTTTGTTGCGGACAGGAGGCCACAGCTCAGCGATCCTTTTTGCTAGGAGTGGCAGGAGTGCTTGGCTTGTTCTCCAGCCGTCTGCGCTTGGCGGTCTCCACCTACAGAAGGACCAGCTTTGCATGCTTTCAACCTTGAACCTCCACTGGCACTTGGCACCTGCCTGCTCAGTCTCTCCGCTCTCCTCAGCTTTTCGGACTGACTCCACCAAGTACTGGAACGCATCCTCACAGCTTGAGGACACAAAGCAGTTGCACTAGGACCTCTGCTGGCACACTCTGCCCCGGCCTCTGCTGAGTCCTTGAAAACCAACATATCTAAGTGTGATTGCGTGAGCCTTGGCGGCATCAGCGCATAGTCTGATGAAATCCGATCAAAAGCACATGAAACAGCAAACGGCAAAAACATTCTCAGTTCGACACATCCCGCACTCAAGCAAATAGTCGAAATTGATGGCTTTCTTCCAGTGCTCTGCGCCCAACAATATAATTGGCATCGGATGTGTTATCTTCCTGAGTTGCGCAAATGGGCACACGAGCTCCGCAACCTTGAGCCGCCCATCTATGGACCAAGCGACTTGGTTTGCAAAAGCACCAGCATCTCAAAGAGTTCATCTAAGGACCCGAAGCCTGCACTGCCAGCACGTGTTGAACCCTTGCACACTGTTCGAATCTCTGACTCAACTGATCCTTCAGTCTTTCCCTGTCCTCCCGGCATCACGACCAGCCCCATGCACTTGTACGCCATCCAGAACTTCCTCATGAAGAAATAATGAAATTCAAAGGCGCCCTCTTCGGAGACGTACCTGGCCAGCTCACGACATCGCCATGAAGAATGGCTATGAATCCAACACCACCAGCCTGTTCAAAGAGCCCCACCTGCACAAGAACCAGTCCAGGCGAACAAATCTATGTAGATTGAGCTGAGCTCTGTCTGCCAAGCCACTCTGGTCTGCTGGCACCAAAGCCTAGCGTGGTCTCACCTGCACACAGTCCAAAACTCTGTGATTGACGTTTGTTGGAGAGGCGGGTTCCCACCTGCTTCATGGGCACCCCGGTTGGCTGCTTCCATGATGCCAGGCCCGCCACCTGTGCTGACGTGGTAGGACCTGAAACAACATAAAGTCGAAGCCGTTGCTCTTATGTCTCTTATGCCACCACCCGTGAGAACCCCACGGTTTGCCACTGGCGGCACGTTCCTTATTCCATTCGCCCAGCTTCTTGCCGAGCTCCAGTGCCATCCTTATGGTTTGCAAGCGGGGCATGCAGCATGTCTGTGTGCACGTGCGAGGATGAGCAGTGAATGCCAAGGTTCGAATAGAACTTGTCCATGTTCTGCATCTTCTTGGCGAAGCGTAACTTTGCTTGGACGGCCTCTACCTACCAAGGTGTATTTGGTATATTCACCAAAAAAACAGAAAGAACATCCCTACCCTATCCTGAGGGGGGGCGTCGAAAATTGTAAGTTACATTTTCCTGCGCGCAGGGCCTCAAAAAATGTAATTACATTAACTTTGAGGTGGCCTCAAAAAAGGTAACTTACATGTTTGAGGCCTCATGGGTGATTTCCTGGGGAATGACCTCAAACATGTAAGTTACATTTTTGAGGCACAGAGGAGCGCTTACAATTTTAGACCCCCCCCCCATCCCCACACTAATTTCTGCTCACGACCACGTCCCGCATGGTCAAATGCGGCATTTCAAGGAAATGCCTGCCGAAACATGTCAGCCGTCAGCCATCAAGTTGAATGATGCTGCCCGCGGCCGGCTGCATCATTAGCATTTTTTGAACTGAAAAAACAAATATATAAAATATATATGTTGTTTTGTTACAATTCTTTTTGGCCGGGGGGTCTTCCATACACAACTCCATACACAACTCCTTCTGCAGCAACAAGCCACACAAAAACAAAGCAGATGAGGGAACAGCAGTGGGTCTGAGTCATCATCAACAAAGAAGAACAGGAAGCACACCCAAAGCAAACTGCCAAGAAACAGGAACATACAGACATGTTCCCACTGAAGACCCCAAAGGAAGGCAACAAAGCGAAACCCAAACATAACAGACGATCACACTCCATACATAATAAGCAATAATGGAGAACAATAAAGGAGAGGCTGCCTGTTCTATTGGGCAGGAGAACAAGGATATTCAACGCCGTTTGATCCCCTGGCTTCTTGCCCCCTGCTTGCGGTTCGTGTGGTCGGACGTGTGTGCTTTTCAGTATGCTAAAATGTAAGTACCTCAGGGGGACACCCCAGTTCCTTGTAAATTCTGGGGAGTTGGGCATGTGGCCAAAATGTAAGTTACAATTGGTGAGGTCAAACTTTCTCACAGAACCCATGTATTCCCTGTAAAATCTGAGGGTTTGGATGCGTGGACTAATTGTAAGTTACAATTTTTGACGTCTGCAAATCTCACCTTTCGCCTGTGTCCTGGTCCTGCATTTTTGGAGGCTATGTTTTCCTTGGTGTTGAGGCATCAGCAAACAGTTGCCAAATAATACTTTTAGTTAATACTTATTAGAAAATATTTCATTAAGTGACTCCCACCCGCAAATAATTTCTTAGTGATTGGCGTATCTTCGATCTGCCAACGCACCCTAGGGGGGGGAGTAAAAAAAATGTAAGTTCAGGCCTCCCAGGTCCCAAGTTACATTTTCCATACCCCCCCCCCTCCCCTCGATCTGACGACCCCCCCAGGGGGGGGTTGGAAAAATGTAAGTAAGCACGTCCCAGGCAACAAGTTACATTTTTTTTGCCCCCCCCCTCCCCCCCTTGACTAGTTTCGATGGTGCCTGGGGGGGGGGTAACTTACATTTTTTGACCCCCTAGGGGGGTACCCTAAAATGTAACTTACTTTTTTGAGGTCCCCTCCCGGAAGTAGCTCAAGGGGGTAGGGATGAAAGAACCTGGTTCAGATGCAGCAACATCAAGCCGCCAAGCCTCTTCTTCAGAAGTAATCTTCTTCAGCTGTTGCTCGAGCCCAGCAATGTGCTTCACCCGGTCCTAGGATACAAGCTCAAATCGGACGGGACACTGGCAAACTGTCCATCTTTTCATCAAGCAATGCGGCTGTCCAGAAAGTGCCCCTTCCGTTCGCGAAGCACATAAGAACCGTTGTTGCATAACTGTTTGGTTCAACTGCCGGGTTTGATATGGCGCTGATCAACTTGGTCGTACAACCCCACCTCTGGGTGCATAACCAAGTGCGAACCAACCTGGCGCATTGTCACCCACAAGGCAAAACAACTCGCCGACTCGAGACGAAGCACTTTACCTGAGAAGGGGGGGGCGAAAGCCAGCCACCGTAAAAGATACCAATATGGTTATGGAGAGTGAATGAGAAAGCCCTGGTGAGCTCCCCACCTCTTTTCCTATCACCTCCTCCCCCGCTATGCCCATTTTGTCCATGAACTCCCACTCCATATTGGGTGCCCTTTTGCGTCTGGACAACAGGCCTCTTCACCATAAAAAAGGGCACCCCCAAGCAACTCAAAGCTTGCCCGCTGCATTCTGTTCCCTCCCTGTTCTCAATGAGTGGGTCACATCGTTTCTTGCAATCCTATCACGTCCTCCTCCACTATGCCTTTCTCGTTTTGGGGTCCGGCAACTAGACCTCTTCACCATTAAAAGGGCACCCCCAAGCAATTCAAAGCTTGCCCGCTGCATTTTGTTCTCTTTGCTGCCCTCAACGGACCACAGCATTACATGAACTCGCACCCCATATGGGGCGCCGTCTTACATCATTAAAAAAGGGCACCCCCAAGCAACTCTAACATTTCTTGCAAACTTTTCCTACCACGTCCTCCTACACTATGCCTGTCTTCCACCTTCCCCACAGCATTCTGGTTCCTCACAGATCACACAATGTCTTAAGAGACGCACACCTCCCTTTCACACTATTTCACTGACCATGAGAGGCGTCCTGGGCCCCTTTAACTCACTTCGTTCGCTCCGCTACCTCAAGCCTAGCCCATCGGCTGGCTTTCGATATATATATATATATACCTGAGAACGGGGGGAACGAAAGCCAGCAGCCGCCAGACGAGAGGGTCATTTGCTACATAGCAAAAGGTTCGGGAGAAGGTTGCGGGGCAGGTCCATGAGGAGGTTCTGGAGAAGGTTCCGGAGCAGGCTCCAAAGCAGACAAGGCTCCAGAGGAGGGCTTAAACAGCGAAGAGACTGTCAGTGGCGCTTCTTGCTGTTGGGGACTTTCCTTGGGTCCGCCCAAAAAATAATCATACGTCGCAGCTACACCCTCTTCCCAGAGACATAGAGACACAGAACCACAGAGACATAGAGACACAGAGTCGCAAAAGACAGAGACATCAAACACAGAGAAGTTGCTATCTACAGGGGGTCCTTTTCTGATAGCAACTTGTCGCTGCCAACCAATTACCATACCTGCCCCAATACATCCAAGGAGACTTCTCTGACAGGATGGCTAGGAGGATGGCAGGAACTATATGTCTCAGCATTGGTGTCACCAACCGTGATCTAAAAACATGGCATAGATCCGTGACTATAACCAATCCTTAAGCAGCAAGTTCTTCACGCCACCAAGTTGTTATCTACACGGGCCCCTGTTCTGATAGCGACTTGCCAACCAACAACCATACTTGCGCCAATACATACAACCTCTATCTATCTATCTATCTATCTGTCTATGATCTATCGATCTATCTACAGTATCTATTGGAACAACGTTCGGTGCACGTGGACGCCGCGAGAAGCATCCGCTCGACGGTACAGGTATAGTAGAGACTAGGATGGTCGCTCTGTACATGGGTGCCTGTCTCCACTCTAGTGCTCAATGCCCATTGTCCAAATAGCCTCCACAGCCCTTCGTGATGCTAATGATGCACTACTTGGCGTCCATTGCAGCGCTCTCCCCAGCCAAGCTCCGGGTTCACCCTCTCAAATGGTGCCTTTTCGCGGCCTACCCCCCCACACCCCCTTTACTCACTTCGTTCGGTCTAAGAGCTCAAGCCTAGCCTATCAGCTGGCTTTCGTTATATATATATATATATATATCCGCAGCTCCAAGTGATGGGAAAGCACGCCAAATAAGTGTATATATATATATATAGTTATGCACAATCCATGCAACTATTGCCGTCAAGTAGCTATGATGAAATAGTTGTCTATGGAGTGTGCGTCAAGGCGCTTCATGGGCTCATAGAGTTCGCACCTGGGAGCTTCACACAAAGATGGTTTCTATATGTGTCATGCACAATGATCAAAGGCAAAGCGGCATGATCCTGATATGTCGCGAAGTGGGAGCTCCCAACCAATCGGGATTTTTGTATGCCTGACATCTGCGAAGCATCTGCGAAGCTCAGACTTGTTGGACTGCCCAACTGGCCTTGATGGTCGGGACATTCTTCAGCTCACCGTTGCTCGCCATCCAGGTGTGCAGCTCACCACACCCCGTTTTATGACAAGCTCACTTCCCACAAGCTGGCTTGAGCCTCGAACCTTCGGCTTCTGTGTTGTGGGAAGACCGCTACGCTGTTTAGGTCAGGTCAATTGCGGTACAAGGGTCCATTGACTGCGAAAAGAACAGCTAGCAGCTTGCACACTCTTTTCGTTCGGAGCACTGCATCCAATCAGTTGGCAGCCGCCCCTTGGCAGCCCGTAATCGAGGATATTGACTTCCCTCCAACCGCCAGGCAAACAACTACTTCAGGAAGCAAAACTCACCGTGAACCGCTTCGACGGCTTCGACGCTAATCATGTCCCCTAAAAACTCTTCGTGACTAGCTGCCAAAACAGTAGCCGAGTAGTTTCATTAGCCTGACAGCCGAAGAATTGCACCACAGGTTTCCACGTGGTACCATATCAGATTCAGAAATTGCTGCTCCACCAGCAAGGCTCCTTATGCCTTGGCCTTTGCCAGCTCAGCTTTCAATGTCGCATTTTCCTCTTCAAGCGCTTTGATCTTCTCCTGTGCTTCAGCCAGCTGCTTCTTTAGGTCTTTGACCGAAACCACAGCCGGTGCGCTCCCACCGGATGCTTGAACCTTCTGCGTGCCCGGCTTCATGGGGGTCAAAATGGGCTGCCGACTCTGCCCAGCAAGCCAATCATCAGAGGTCATGGCTGGAAGTCCTGCCACACAGTCAGGAAAAATGTCTTCTTGGAAGGCTTCACTTTTCCGAGGAACACGGAAAGAGACTGGCTGAATAGCTGCGCTTTCCAGCTTCAAGCCCTTCATGACCTCATGCACGCTCACATCCACACATCTTTTTGGGAGGAAGTCGAAGCCCTTCTGAGGCACTCTCGATTGGAAGGCTTCGATGTAGTGGAAGTAAGGCTCGCAATTCACCACCTCAAAGTACCGGACATTGCTGTCGCCCTTTCCTGCCAAGTACAGCATCTGGGTGCCCGGGTCGAAGAAGGGGTAGAGGGATCCTGTGCCTTGGTCAACCGTCAGAGCTGTGAGGGAGCCTCCCTCACTCCCATCCTCTGGCATCTTGCGGATATCCCAGAGACAGACCTGCCTCTCTGCCTGTGACGTCATTCCGGTGGTGATGATGGTATTGCATTCCTCAGGTGAGGATGAACTGCCCACCCACTCCACTTTGGTCGGCTTAGGACCCTCACAAATCTTCGTGGCAGCCGCAATCTTGGACTGTCTTGGATCTACAATGTGAAGTTTCTTGTCCTTGCTGGTGATGGCCAACAAAGAACCGTTGTAGTTCCACTTCACATGCATTACCTGGTCTGGCACCGGAACGGTGAAGGATACTTCCTGCTCGGCCAAATTCCAGACTTTGCAAGTCATGTCGAAGGATGTGGAGGCCAGAATGTTCTCTGCGCTTGGATTGAATGTGCAAAATGACACCTTCTTCCCATGTCCTTCGAGGGTCAGGACTGGATCTTTCAAGTGGCTTGAAAGTCCTTCATCAGGAATCTGCCATAGTTTCAAGGTAGTGTCCTCACTTGCGCTCACCAACAAATTGTCTGAGAAGGGGCTGAACTCAAAGTCCATGATGCCACCCGTGTGTCCAGCCACCAACGGCAGGTCTCGAGGTAGTCTGCCATATCTCGTGCTGGGGATGACCGCCAAAGTGCCACCACCTCCCGCTTCCCATGGGATACAAATGAATTTCGAGTTTCCCCGGATACCTGTGGTCTCCAACGGCTTGCTGGACAACCTCAGGTCTTGGAAGCTCTCCTTCGAAGCGTTGCCGAAGACGTGACGAAACTTGGAATCTCTCACCACCTTCATTGTGGGCACCACCAATCGCGGATCCACACAATTTGAGCTGGTAGGTAGATGGCACGGACGGTCAAGTAATGTTGGGACATGAAATGCACCTCAAAAATGTGGAGTTGTTCGACTTGACTTTATGATTGTCAGTGTCGAAAGCCTTCCTTCACTTTTTGTCCATAAACATTGAAGCAACACGAGCACTTGATTCCAGTTCAAGCGGTGAAAATCCGCATCACGTGCCGTCGGCAGCTGCATAAATTCGAGTCACTTGTGGACCTGCTAGAAAAACGAAGGGCTCAGGCTCACCTGCAAGTTTCAGGCAACCCCGCCCAAATCCCTGGGGAAAAAAGGCCACTGAGCTCCATGCATCCAAGGCATCTCTCCTCTCTTTTGTGCCTAGTGCACCTCAGCTTCCTCTTCACCTCTCTGCCAAACAGTGTCCAAAGCGACTCATTTGTGAAGTCTACAGTTGATGCAAGTCACTGCTGCCCTCTTACCTCGGGACATGGCAATGCGTGAGGCGTGAGGGGCAACCCAAAGCGGTAGGGTTGCTACAGTTGAGTCAGCGTAGAACATCTCCACTCTTGGTTGATACAACATACGACATTGTTGAGGCCCAACGTGAAACAAAGCCAGCCCAGGCACGCGCAATGGCTGCCTCAGTGGCCTTCAACAAATGTTCCATGTCTGATTGCCTTCTCTTCATAGCAGCCTCGATGTTGTCAAGAGCCGCGCTGAGGCTACCAAAAGTGCTCGCACGCTCCTGGAGTGCTTCCATCATGAACAGCAGAATTGAACCCACCCAACACAAAACGCTCTTGTAGGCCAGTCTTGTGACTCTTGTGAGACACTCTTGAAGGACACTTTTGCTTGACACTCTTGCGCAACGTTCTTGCTGGCACTCTTCTGAGACAAACATTTTGCGTGACTTCTTCCAAAAGTGACGTGGGAAGCTCTAAAACGAGCAGTCTCTAAAAAGAGCATTTCGCACCAAATGTATTCCAAATGCATTACTTGGTCGTGCAAAACCCCCTCAAAAGTGTGAAGACGCCTGCTGCCAAAGCGAACAGATCACGACCAAGCGTCGCAGCCTCACGCAAAAACCTGGGATTGCGGTGCCTACCATCTGTCCCCCAAGCCGCTCACTTTATTTGAGCATCTGCCAAAACGACCTGTCAAGCAAAGGACATGATTCAGCAAGGCTATCGCTTTTGAGGGGGCCTATCGCTTTTGCAGGCTTCGGCCACAATGTCAACATACCGGAACATATCCAAAACAGGGGGGCCTATCGCTTTTGCATGTTGCCTGTTTTAGCCCAAACCCTGAGATTGACAACCGCTCGTTGCTAAATTAGTCATGAGTCATTGGACGTTTTGGCGGGTGCTCATTTGGGTTGGTGATTTCGCCGGTTGCCTGCTACTCAGATAGGTGACTGGCTGGCTGGCTGATTGTGCCGACTACTTTGGTTAGTGGCTGGCCGGCTGGCCGGCTGGCCGGCGTGCTTTGGACATTTCAGTGATGCGAGGGTGGCTCCCTTAACTTTCAGCCCGCAGCCGCCGAACATTTTGGTGGCTGGCTGGCTGGCTGGCTGGGTTTCGAGGCTGACTGGATGAATCTGCGTGGGTACTTACATATAGGCAGCTGGCTGACTGATTCCACCCCTGCCTTCCTCCCTCCTTCCTCCCTTCCTGCCTTCCTCCCTTCCTGCCTTCCTTCCTCCCTTCCAATGTCCAAACTCCATCTGCTCCTCTCTCCATCTTCCTACCTGCTCTTCTGTGTCTTCGCGGGCTCTTCCCCGGAGTTCTGGGCCCCTCTTTTCTGACCTCAAATTCCATCGAAATCACAAGTTTACCTTAGGTTTGTCACCATAAACACCTCAAAACCTCCAAAAAGACCATCCTCGAAGGGCAATCTCAACGGCCTTGATGTGGTTTTTCAGTCGAAAAAGGAAACTCTTCGTCCATACATAGCTACCCCGATGGTAGGGCACCACAAACGCCACCATCGCCCAAAAACCCTTAAGACAGAGCCTAGTGTACGACTTGGGTAGCGTTTTCATGTGTTTGTGTGTGCGTTCTGCTAGAACTCCCTCTCCCCGCTGCAGGCCACAAGTCCTCGCCAGTCAGCTCCAAGTGCACAGCGCCCAGTTTCTCTTCAAAGGTCACAGACTCGCTGTTTAAATGCTTGGTCCGTAGTCCTATGGCGTCTCGAAACTTCTGCTGACTTGTTGGTTCACAAGTCTCTTCTTGCTTGGCAACGTCTGCATTCATTGCGAAAGATGTCTGAAGTGCCACCAGTGATGACGCGCCCGCCCTTGGTTTTCAAGTCACACCGCTTTACGACCATAAATTGCATGATACCAACTCACTTGCAAACAGAACGCATTTGTCTGTATAGAACTCATTTCTGCCTCACGTCAAGAAACTGGCAGCACCCCAACAGCCCGAGAAACCGTAGCATCTTTCAGCCTGTGGCTCACCTCAAGCAATTTCTGCCAGCCTCTGCTGAATTTCAATCAAGTAGAATGAGGAACTGAGGGGCTGGCCGAATCAAGGATACTGTCAGCAAACTGCAGCAAGTATAAGGATTGCAACTGATAGTGCGTTCGGTCTCAAGTTGGCTCAACGAGCTGTGAAGCCAAATCATTGCAAAAACACAAGAGCCATCCTGATGTATACATTAAGTTCAAATCCAAGGTTATCGACGTGCAGTCTAAAACTGAATACAAAATGCATCTCTATCTGTCTATCTATCTATATACCTACCTGCCTACCTACCTACCTAGCTAGCTATCTATCTATCTCTCCATCTTTCTTTTCTCGGTTCTTTTCAAGCTCAGCTCATTCGACTCCCGCGCCAACAAGGCAAAAGCGGGCCCCTGCAAGGATCATTCGCCTTGGACAGGGGAATGCTAGGTTGGGCTCCTCGATCGTCCACCACTGCTCCAAGCAAACAACTAGCTGTCAGAGCTTGCCAGGAGCCTGAGTTTCATCTGCCCATCCTCGTCACCACACTTCTGGGACAGCCATCCTTGACCTCTTCCTTGGTGGGTCTTAGTGCTGCGACCACAACGACTGCAGGCAATCCATTCCCCCCTGTGCCACAGATCATGGGCCGAATGCACTCGACATCTGAGCTGCATAGTGTCGGCAGTGGCACGTTCATAGCGGCATGCTTGACCTTTCAAGGTCATCAAAGCTGACTTGCCACATCTCCTTTGGCCCAACACCGAAGGCAACTAAAGGTGCTAGAGCGAAGAGTCCACCTGTGCCCCGTCTCCTCATCCGGCTTCTGTGCACTGTCGTCTACCATGGCCTGCATGATCTGGGTCAAGGTTTTGCTGCGCACTCCAGCACAAATACTGTTCTCCTTTTTCTCAATCTCACTATGTGTGGAGGATGCCTTGATGTTCATCCCACATGCTTGGCATTGCACGCCACTGCCCTTCACCAGCCATTGATGCTGACCGTCACTTGGTGTCCTCTGGGACAAACGCTGCAGGATCTCAACACGCCCTTTTGGCGCCAGGGCCTTGAGTTTGTACTCCAGCTCGACTGTCTCCAGCTGGTTGTGCATATAATGACCCTTATCCTGTAGAAGGGCACTGATGGGAGCAGCTGCAGTCAAGTAGACCTGTTGATGCCAACTGTCTGCCGGATTGCACCAGGTCATCAGGCGCTTCACGACGAGCCCCCTCCTGTGCACATTGACACGAAGCATCAAACTGCAGCCATGCCCTCATATCATCAGAAGCGGCTTGAGCCTGGTCCCCTCTTCTGCTGCCACACTATGCCACAAGTCCGCCACCAGCACACTTTTAGGCCCTTGCTGGAGTGCCTCCCATCCCTGACGGTGAGGAATGTTGATCTGATGGCGCGCCAGAAAAGCCTGAATGGCCAACCAGCAAACATAGACCCACGCTCTGGCTTCACTGGGCTTTCCCGGCATGACTGCCGTTCAAGTGCCACTCAGCTGCCATGTTCCATCAGGCCATTGGCCCACAGTGACAGCAACCACATAGTTCTGCACCCTGGCATCTTGGCAAGTTGCTTTGACTCCAATGGCAATCCGCTGACTTAATCCAAAACGGGTGGGCTGTCCTGATGCCATAGCGCCCGTGACTTCACAGGATTCAACACCAACCACAGGTCGGAAAGCAGGGCCATCAATCATGCCACGGGCCCACAACATGGATTCCTCATTGGCAGCAATCATCCGCTGCCACTCTGCTGGAAGAGGTTGTTCATGGTAGCAACACTCCCAGATGAGGTGCTTCATAGCGGAGGGCACACGGCCCGGCCCCCGCTGATATGCGTCCTCAGGGAACCTTGAGTCCAGGTACGTAGTCGAGTCAGGCTTGCGCATCATTGGAAAGCAATGTTCTAGCTCTTGGATACGGCGGGCTCGCTTCAGGGCCAGTTCAGCGTGGAGTTGCTTCTGCAGATAAGACCATGGGAATTCAATGTTGAGCTGAACCGCAGGCACCCAGTCATCCAACGCTCCGGCGTCCCACACCATCTCCATCAAATAGGCCTGAAGGGCGGCCATAGGGCCCGCAACCACCATCCAAGGATGCGCTGCTGCTTGTAACCTCCTCCATGTAAGCCGCCAAGCTGACACCAGTTCTCCTCGCTGAGCAGGCGGCCACGCTTGCAGCAACTGATGCATTGCTTTTAGCTGACGTTGAATGGCGGTATCTCTGGGATCTTGCAGCTTGCCATGTTGGTCAAAAACAATGTCCATGCCTCCACCTTTTCTGCAAACCCCCATGCCTGGCCAATTGACTGCGGAGGGTTCTCATCCGCTGGGGCGCCATGCCCTGAGCTTGAATGCCATAGCCAACCGCTGCGTGCACCGAAGTCTTCCACACTCGGATCCTCACTGGCCTGGACCGCAATTTGAGGTGGAGCAGCTTGGCCTGTCTGCCTCTGCCCTTCAACAGACGTTTCTGCTGTGCGCCAATGCGACGGCGGCGCCCCCCACTTCAATCCAATCCAAGATCCTTCAAAAGGTCATGGGCCTTGGGTTGATCTGCGCCTCTTACCATGTTCAGGTGGCGCTTGCAGTCACTCGCGGATGTGAGGAATCCAGTCTTGCTCACTGACAACTTCAGACCAGCAGCCTCCAACCCCTGCTTCAACTCTTCGTAGCCGGCCAAGGCTTCAGCACAAACCTCTTGGGCCTCCTGGCCTGTGAAGTCGACTGAAATGTCATCGACCCACACATCAACAGAGGATCGGGGATGTTGCTTTACGAAGTCTTCAATGACCGGGGCCAAGACGAGTTTTGCAACGAGCGGGGCCATGGGGCAACCTGCTAGAATGCCTCGCTTGCAATGAACCGGACTGCTGGTGACCTGCTCAGCCTGCAACATGCGAGGTCCACTGTATACTTCAGACAGGAAATTGGCGTGAACAGCTGGGAAATCTAGCGGTTCCCAAAGGTGCAGCAGCTGAGCCAGTTCAACCGAATCGTAGAAGCACTGCAAATCTACCAACAAGGTGACCACATGCCTGCCCACTGCACGTCCAACCTCGCACTTGAGGAGTCTCATCAGCGCTACTTGCAAAACCTGTGTGCCAGGCAAACTGCGTCCCCAAGGCAATCTCTGTCCAATGCTGCTTTGCCAGCGACGCAGCTTGTTCCACCGAAGTTTGCACCACGTCCTGTATAGCACACTCGTCAAGGAGATGGGCCTCTCAATTTCTTCTTTCTTGGGCAGCAGCAGAACCAAAGTGGTGCAAACTTGCTCCGGCAAGCGGCCTGCAAGTTCCCAGCTTCGAAACATGTTGCAAAGGTCTGTGACTCCTTCGATGGGCAGGTTCTTTAGCAGAGCGTAACTGATTCCATCTGGGCCGCATGCTTTTTGGGGAAGCTTCCTCAAGCGCTTCATGACTTCGTGAGGGTCCAAATCTTCCCACCTCCTGGCTTGCTGTATGGCTTCCCACCGTAGTCGTTCTCGCTCTCCACTATGATCCGGCGCGTCAATGGCTTCCCATTGTCCATACCACTGCTTTTCACGAAGCTTCTGCCGGTCTTGCACTGGGATGTTCCTGAAGGGCCGAACATGCACAGCATCCGGCGCTTTGAGGGAGCGGTAGATGCCGCTGTGGCCTCGAAGTTTGGCCTGGGATAACCACTCTTGACATTCATGAAACTGTTGCTCCAAAGCCAATTTCTTGGCATAGTCCCGATTTGCTTCAGCCCCTTTTGTCAGCAAGGTCAGTGGGCTGCCAACTCCAGATAGCAGGTCCTCCTAGGCTGCTGCAAAAGCTTGTTTGCCGCGCGCATCTTGCCACCGGACATTCAGGTCAGCTGCTTTGGCTTTGAGGTGGACCATCGTATTGGAACCAATGAAGCCACTGCCAGCTATGTGCGACAAAAGGGAGCAGAACTGTCCCCAGTAGGCCAAGTCACCTTTCTTCCAGGGGGACAAGGGCTTGGTGGTCGGCAACGTCTTTAGCTCCAAGGCCAAATACCATCCCCTGCCCAGCTTGGGCTCATGTAGATTCTGCAGCACATACTGCTCTGCCTGATGGCACCATTCTGCACATTGAATTTCTTTGGGCCCAACCTGCCGTCCCAACCAGAAAATCTTGGGTTGTGCTTGAAATTCATCCCATTGTCTGCTGGCGTCCTCTAACCTGGGCACAGCTGCAAAGTGCGTCAGTTGGGGTAGGATCAGCCGCGGAGCCGCCTTGTTGACTGTAATAAGCCGCCTGAGCTTCCGGCGGCATTGTCCCCCATGCCTTCTTCAGGGTGGATTCGATGGCATTGGGTACTTGCTTGGTCTTTGCTCCAAGGCCTGGTGGTGGATCCACCTGGGGCCGCACACGTCCTCGTGGCTTCCTAACGGGGGAGGTACTCTTCCAGTCACTGTCAGCACCAGGCCATGGAGTGCCACATTTGTTACATCCCCATCTCTGGGCATTGATGCGATCTGCCCAGATCCAGGATGAGCTGCAGCCCGTACACGCCACATAGCGCCTCCTCGTTCTCACCTTCTCAAAGTCCTGGAAATAGCCCCCCATCATTCCAAGGAACAAACTCGGTGAGGCTCACGTCAATCTCAATTACGAGCAAGGGCAAGGCCACCGAACTGGTAGGATTTACCAAAGGCGCCTTCAAGCAAGTAATGGCTACGGATCTCTCTATCTCTCTCTATCTCTCTCTCTCTCTCTCTTTCTCGCACGCACAAAGTGAAGTAAGGCCGACCTCACAGCTTAGGCCGGACTTGGTAGGAGTTTGTATGATTCACTTCTGTGGAAGCACCTCCGGCATCTTGATCAATCAATAGGTTCAAGGCCCAGTAAGGCAGTATGCGGTACACATGTGTAGAAATACGCAACACCATTCAAGCTAGTGGCCTGGAGGCCAGTGGAGGTAGCCTGCGTCCTTTGGAGAGAACAATTGAAATGGAGAGCTTGAGAGGTACTTTTACAAAGGTTTTGTGGGTTTTCTTTTCTTAGCTCCGCGTCTAATGAGCAAGCCTCGTATACGCCAATGAACCAAGCATGGACTTTGCGTTCTCGCGCCGGCGCAACCGGCCCACACCACAAAAACCTTTGTCTTCTCGTTTTGGCGGCATCACCATGACCAAAGGATTGTTTTTTGTCATATTGTCAAGCAGTTTGGGCTGAGGCTTTGCCAAGCACCGCTATGCTAGTGAGTACGCATATGAGAGCATGGCTATGTGTGAGCAAGCATGTGAGAGCACACACATGAATCCCCGCCACGAAGTCTGCACTTGAAGGTTCACGAAGCGCTGCGCCTGCCTTCAAATCTGGCCCTCCATGAAACACTCCAAGAATGCAGTAGTTCCCGAACTCTTTAAACAAGAACTGTTCAATGCACCTTTCAGTCTTTCCTGCCCGCTATCTTTGACCTGTTCCACGGTTGTATACTACAAAATACGCACAATTTGTCTAGTTCCCTCATATCTGATAAAACTCTCTCATCACGCGTTTCTCCTCAACCTTGAACAACGTACTTCGACTTTCCTGCAGCGGCTGTACAGGGCTAGAGAGGTGTGCAAACACCATCCTCTTTCTGCCTTTGCACTGTCAACGCGCGAAAAGTTGACCGGCATCGGCGTGGTGACCATTTGGAACAAACATGGTACAGTCTTCAAATCCGTCTGATATCCAACAAAAAGACAGGTGGGCCCACACTGCATTTCCAACATTTGGCATAAGGCCCTCCAAAGAATACGTGATGCGCTGGGCCAATATATATAATTTGAATCTCGTAAAGAAACAAATCTTAGACATCATGCCTGACGAATATTCTGTTTGCTGCAACCTGCTACTCACATTTTCACAGCACGCAAGGTCCCCGACAAGAAAGGC